TTTTTTTTCCCTTAGGTTTTGGGGGGTGGCATTATGATTTAACATAATGATCTAGCATTTAGAAATGTTACTGAAAACTCAGTCAAATGTTTTTCAAATCATATCTACCAATGTGACACTTTGAACCTCTTAAGAAGTGCAGACTTACAGATGAAGGCCCCACATGCATGAGGCTCTTAAAAGGCCTCTCCTCCTGTGTGCCGTACCTGGGCTGCATAGCGAGGACCCAGGGATTTTGTTAGGCCTGCTCTGGAAAGTGAGTGGCTTAAGTAAGTACTGGGAGTGGAGGAGCATCACAGCTTGGGATGCCATGGGAGGTGCTGAGATGAGCCTTGGTGAATTTGGTTTAAAAACCAACCAACCATTCCTGTGGGGGCGCCTGGGTGGCTCAGTTGGTTGTCTTCCCTGGGCTCAGGTTGTGATCCTGGGACCCTGGGCTCCTTGCTCCACAGCAAGTCTGCTTCTCGCCACCTCCCCTTCCCCACCCCTGCTCCTGCTGGCGCCTGGGTGCGCTCTCTTTCTCTAATAAATAAAATCTTAAAAACAAACAAACAAACCCACAAGTATGTGAACAACAGTGATTCGTGTACTTTTAATTGTTCTCTCTGGATATTTGTCTTTAGGCCTCTCGACTACTTGGTCACAGAATTCCCGATCCCAGCACAGGAGAGGTTCGTGCTCCAGACACGAAGATCGAAAACCTTCAGAGGTATTTCCTGAATGATGGTGTGACTGTGCATGTCCTGCCCGTGTGCATGACTACATAAGATTGGCACACACCTGGTTGGTTGATACCGATGTCTCTCTGCAGTCACGAGAAAGTTATCTAACTTCTTCGTGCTTAGTTTAAATTTGTAAGATGGGGATGACACAGGTGTGTTTGCCTCCTCAGATTCTTTTGAGGATTGAGTGGGTTAATACACAGACAGTAATACAAACTAAGCACTTACAGAGTGCTCAGTAGTAAATGTTAGCTATTATTATTAATTATATTCTTTTTTTCCTTTTCTGTTTCATCTTCGCTGGCTCCCAACAACTTTTCCTCTGGCCAGGAGATCAGCGGGTTCGGCTGCTGCCGGTCACTGCCAGCCTCAAGTTAGTTTTGGCCATGAATTTGTGGCTTATTTGGCAACAACCCATTGTAATTCTGGGAGTTTTGTTTTGGCAATTACGTTTAAGGCTTTTTTCCCCTCCTTTTTCAATTTGTTTCTCATCTTCTATTTCCCTGCTCCCCCACATTTTGTTACCTACCTACCTACCTACCTACCTGCCTGCCTATTATCTATTGTCTCTTTATTTAAAATTGCTTTTAGGTGCACACCTCTGCTGGCCTTTGTTGATTAGGGGCCTCTACCAGTCCTGAGCTACGTTATCTTTGACAACCTTTGCCAGGCTCTCAGGATTTTATTTTATTTTATTTATATTTATTATTTTATTTTTATTTTTTTAAAGATTTTGTTTATTCATAGAGACACACACAGAGAGAGAGAGAGAGAGAGAGAGAGAGAGAGAGGCGCACAGACACAGGCAGAGGAAGAAGCAGGCCCCTACAGGAAGCCTGACCTGGGACTCGATCCCAGGTCTCTAGGATCACACCCCAGGCTGCAGGCAGCGCTAAACCGCCGCACCACCAGGGCTGCCCTCAGGATTTTAAATGATTGCAGAAAGGGCATTTTAGTTGATCACTTTTCAGGTGGGCAGGTTGCGGGAGGAGAGCCTTTGGTTCAGCCCTTTGGCTTGTGCTGCCTCTTTAACGGGACGGCTTCAGAGACCACCTCTTCCTGTAGCTGCAGAGCACAGGCCTGCATTCATTCCACCAGGTATTTCTTTCCCTGAGTGTAATGGGGAGTGCTGGGTGATACTGTGTGGGGGTATGGGGGACTTCTGGGTCAGGGAATAACATTCCCCATGAGGAAGCGTAGTATATATCCTTTAAAATCAGAAAACCATCCCAGGAGACACTTAGACATTAGCTCAAACCTTCATGGGAAGGTGGCCATATTTTTGCCTTTAGGTTTCCAGGCCTTTGTCATTTCGGAACCTGCAGGGCCTCCCTCCTTTTCTGTGCTGAGTGGCTCTGCCTGTCTTTGTTGCTTTAATTGTCCGTGCCGCCTCCCCAACCAGTGTTCTCCTGTTGATAGTGCACTTGTCTTACTTCAGGACAAGAGTACGGGGGGATTGGAGTAGGGACAGTTGGCGCCCGAGGAGGGCTGAGCAGCACCATGGCGCCAGCCTCGGCCCTCACCCGGAGGCTGATTGGTTTCTGATTTTTTTTTCTAAAGTTCTCTGAGTTTAGCTCCTAGTTCCGACTACTTTATATGTAGGTTAGCATTAATGTCAAATTCTCCCGGGGGCCGGGGAGTTCATCTAGGGCATCTGCTTCAGCTCTTGACCATCCTCCCCTGAGACTTAGTAAAGGAATGGTGGGCTGCCTTTTCTCCTCTTGTTGCTTCAGTTTGATTTTCCTTCTTTGGCATACTCTTTTTTTTTTTTTTTTTTAAACATATAAGACTTAGTTGGAATGTGTTTTTTAACTGATTTGCTTCCTGAAGGTATAGACGTGTGATTTTTTTTTTTTTTTTTTTTTTTTTTTTTTGCTTTAAAGAACTTTTCTCCCTGGGGGTGAGGAGGGCATGGGTGATCCAGGTCCTGGGCAGCTGGGCTGGGCGCCTGCTTCAGTGGGCTCAGTGCTGTGAGGGAGCCTGATTGTACTTGTGCTTTTGTGGATGGTGCACAGCCAGGGTACTGCTTGTTACCAGGACTTGAGAAACCAGGAGTGGCAGACTGGGAAAAATCAGCGTTGAAAAGTGGCAGGCCAGAGAAATGGCCTTTTTATTCAGACACTGCCTCAGACTTTCTTACGGTGAAGTTTATTAAAGTGATCACCAGTCTGAAAAGCCAGCAGGAAAAACAAATATGGACCTATTAGCAGGCATATAATGTGAACTGTGCTTCAACAGCTTAAGAAAGAACTCCCTGTCCTAAGAAGAGAGAGTTCAGCATTGTGACTTGTGTAAACAGAGAGCGCAGCTTACAGATGCAGGCGTGCTTCGTGCCAAATACAACTTGGGGCCAGCGCTAATGCCAGGGTCAGAGCTTCCTTGTGTAGCCCTGAGACCCTGGTGGCCCAAGGACGAGGCCCCGCTGGCAGGCAGTGCCGTGCTCCTGCCCTGCCCCAGTCGGCGGGAGCAGCCATGTGAGGCCGCCTTTGGCTGGTCTCCTCTCCGCCCCTGACGAGGGGCAAGGAGCTCCCTCAGGACAGGGGTACTTTGAGTTTTGTGGGTCTGTTTTTGGCAGGGAGAGGCGAGGGTAAAGTAGCTTGCTTCCTTCTTTCTTTTTCTCTCCTTCCCTCCTCTCCTTTCCCCACAAACACTGCTTCCCTTATAGAGGTTAATGCTGGGGAAAGGTGTGTAAACATGTTCTTTATGAGCCCCTTTTCCGACTTGACCCCATTGGTCTGTCCTTGCTTCTTTCCCATATTTGTCCAGCCTGTACTTCTGCATGGCACCTGCCAACCAGGACCCGACTCCCCAGATACCTTGCCATGAGCCCTGTAGCCCTGGGAGGCAGGAGCTGGGTGGTGGCAGTCTGAGTATAGAAGAGGAGGCCCTGGTAGTTCTGGGTTTTGGCTTGAAGTTGTTAAATGGTTAGTGGAGTTTCATTTCTTAAAACATTTACCAAGAGAGCACCCTCGAGGGAAATACCAGCAGCCCTCTTTTGAATTGGGAGCTCATAGAGTTTCAGGGGAAGAGACTGAGGTTTCATTGCTGCTGTCAGACATGCTGCCGGCTTGTGGAGTTGAAGTGAGGGGGTAGCGTGAGCCATTGGCACCTCCACGCCTGAGAGGCCAAGGGCGTGGCAGGCCGAGGGGTTCCTGTAATAGGTCGGCCTCGGGCTCTGCTGATACAGTGACCTTGTTACACGGCAGCTCCATGGTGACCCTGCAGCTGCCAGCACTCTGAAGAAGAATGCAAATATCAAATGTCAGTGACCCTGTCTCTCCCTCTCCAGGTGTTTAGGACGGACCTGATCACTGCTATGAAGCTGCATGACTCCTATCAGCTGAACCCAGATGAGTACTATGTGTTGGCAGATCCCTGGAGACAGGAGTGGGAGAAAGGGGTCCAGGTGCCAGTGAGCCCTGGGACCATCCCTCAGCCGGTGGCCAGGTACATGTGCCAGTCCCCACCTGCCATCGCCTTTCTGCCTGAGAAGAGCAATTTGACTTAGCAGTGAAGTAATACGAGACCCCAAGTGGTCTGAAATGTGTAGAAAGACACTCTAGGTCCATAGGGTAGTGATTTTGAGGGCCATGGTCCTCCAAACTTAATATTCCAGCCATCTTGGGAAGGTGCTGCTCTCTTTAGAGAGTCGGGCAAATTCTAGAACACTGTGGGAGATGACTGGTGGGGGAGGGGAATTTGATGTTTACACAACTTCTTTTTTTCCCCCATCCCCACCCCCAATTCCTGTTCACTGTGGAGAGCAAGTGTGGGAAATATCAGAAAGGGAGACAGAACATGAGAGACTCCTAACTCTGGGAAACGAACTAGGGGAGGTGGAAGGGGAGGAAGGCGGGGGGTGGGGGTGACTGGGTGGCTGGTACTGAGGGGGGCACTTGACGGGATGAGCACTTGGTGTTATTCTGTATGTTGGCAAATTGAACACCAATAAAAAAGAAATTTATTATTAAAAAAATTAAATTAATCCCCTAAAACAATTAAGTAAAAAAAAAAAATCCATCACTGTTCACCCAGCAAGGGTGGCTTCTCCAGCGTTGTAGGGCTGGGCTGGGCTCCACCTGTGGAGTAAGGCAAATGTGAGGTGGCCTGCCAGGTCACGGTTATGTGGAAGGCAAGCTTAAGAGGAGCAGTGTATTTGATGAGTTCTCCTATGGATGGACTTTGCCCAGTTGCTCTTGCCGGGCTTTGAATTTACTTAGGAAGCACCTTTCCCCTTAAGGGTCCTTGATGCCGGTCCTTGATGATTTACCTCCGCGTGGAACTGAGGCCAGTTTGCTTATTTCTTCGCTGTGTTGCCCAGCTGACCTGGAGGGCTCTCCCTGTGAGCAGATTCGGGGTCTCTACGCTCAGCTAGTGCCTGGCGTCTCTGCTGTGCATCAGTCAGCTGCCTCCTTTGTGATGAACTGGACTCTTTTACCATTGCCGGTTATTGCTTGGGGGTTTCTGATAAACGTCTGCATAGATGTGTGGGCTTAAATGACCAGTCCAGATTTCTGGCTGGTGGGGTGGAATGTTTAACTGGGCTTTGCAGGGTAAATACCATGTTTGCCTTAGAATCTACATCTGGGGCACAACACCAACTGTTCAGCTTTGGCAGTCCCCATCCAGGAATTACTCGCTGAATCATTTTTTTATTTGGGAGCTCGGCACAAGAGCAGTAAACGTGATACAGCTTCCGGAGTTTCTAGGTAGCTAAAACCCTGCTCTTGGTTGAGTATGGGAGAAATAACTCCCTGTGTTTTGCCTATTTCAGTGTCATGTAGATAAGATCACTCTGGTGCTTACAAGGTGGTTGAAAATACTGGCACTCTTTGGACCACTTGTTGCTGCTAACATGAACTGCTGAACGTGGCGATGAGGGAGGAACTGTGGATGCGGGGGTGCTGTGATACCGGACCTTTGTCTTTAGGGAGAAGGCCCTTCATTCCAAGTTGGGAGTGATTTGATCTTGTGTGTGGTCATTTCTTCTCAGTAGGGTGTGGTGGAAGGCACCAGGGTTAACAGGTTTGGAGAGGGTGGCAGTGTAAGGAGAGGAGGGAACTTGTGTCCCTGTCCTGGGATCCTAGGTGTATGTTGGGAGAGTCCCCTCCTTGGCTAGGCCTCTCGGGGTCTTGGACTACTTAGTAATGGACAAGGCCCACTTTTATTTCTAAGATTAGTGATGATGGGTTTGTCCCCTTGGTTGCCCAGCGTTCTGCTGGGCATTGTCCTGCCCTCGTGGCTGCTCTTGGCCTCCGTGTTCTTGAGAGCCTAGTGCTAGACCTTCAGGTGGTCAGGCTGGATGGGTACAAAGTGATGTAGTCATTAGCTCTTGAAACTTGAGAGGTTAGTGTTTTGCTGTTGTGGCTAGGTCAGAGCAACTGCTGTCCTAAATCAAGACTGGTCATGCAGTATCCTGGGAAGCCAATTGGAAAAAGCTGGTTTTGAGGACTCCTCGGTGTTTTCACTGGTCTGTGTCTTTCCATTTTGGGGTCCTTCATGAATCCTACTTAGTTTTACTAGCAGTGGCATTAGGGTTTTTAAGCCTGTTCATCTGGTGATAGCTTGGGGTTTAGGGCACTGGAAAGTGGAAGCACGTTTTGGGCCATGTGGCAGGAAGGGTAACCTGGCTGCTTTGTTTTCTTGTTAACTAGGGTCGTGTCTGAAGAGAAATCCCTTATGTTCATCAGGCCCAAGAAATACATTGTCTCGCCGGGCTCCGAGCCTCCAGAGTTGGGCTATGTTGACATCCGGACGCTGGCTGACAGTGTGTGTCGTTACGACCTCAACGACATGGATGCTGCGTGGCTGGAGCTGACGAATGAGGAATTTAAGGAGATGGGTGAGAGACCATGGGTTATATTTTATTAATAATGAGAGACCTTGGGTTATATTGTTTTTTTAATGAAGGATGAACAGAGAAGAATTTCAGGCATATGAGGGAGTAGTAGAAGCTCCTCCTTGCCTGGTGAAGCCAGCTCCATCAGAGCTTCAGTCTCAGAGTCCTGTGGTCTTTTTCAGAGGTCAGCTTGTCTGGCTGTGGCACCCGTGTTCAGAGGGACTCCGTCTGTGAGTGGCTTGTAGAGGGAGCAGTGGGATTGAAGAAAGACCTTTCCAAAGGCATGGGAGCAGGATACCCCGTCTCTGCCCCCAGCTGCTCCTTTCACATGCTCCCCTCAAGGGAACTAAAGCCCAGAGATATGAAGTGACTTCTCCAAGATGACAGGAGGGTCGTCTGGTCCGCACGGTTTTGTGCTCTGGTGTTTTCCTGCAGTGCCGTTCAGATCCTTTCTCACTTGTGGCCTGTAACTCACAGGAAACTGCACTCCAGCCAAGTTCACCGTTTTCTTATAAACCTCTTATTTTCACCTCTGTGATTCCCTTAAGTCCTGCTCTAAACCTGGAGTGCTTTTCCCTTTTTTTTACCTGTTCACCTCTGTCTTGGCTTTCTCCCCATGCACCCCCCCCACCCCCATTCCGCCCATCATGGTCTATTTTCTGTGTGTTGGCGGCTTTTGGCTTCTCTGTATATCTATAGCTTGGAGCTTCTGTACCTCATTTTGCTTGTGCCTCCTGGTGTCAAGACCAGGATGGCACACAGGTTTCATCTCAGGATTGCTGAGTGCTGCCTGAGGTGTCCTGATGAGCAGGACCACTGAGGTCAAGTCTGGGTTTGGAGTGACAGACTGTGCGGATTACTGAGAATTTGTGCTGTGGGTCCTGGGTGGAGAGAGGCAGCAGAGGTGTTTGTTACAGTTTGGCACATAGTAAATATTTAAAGGATGGTAGATTTTGGGGCCCTGAGGGACAAAGACTGCTTTGATTTTTGGATCAGTCCCTGAGCCTAGTTAGTGCAGGGCCTGCCATATACTGGATGCTTGTTGTGCTGTCCTGCTGCTCACTGGCCTGTTGGATGGGAGCAGTAGTGCCCACTGAGCCAGGGGAGTTGTTCCTTTCTCCCTATTTGATCATTCAGCTTATTTGGACAAAGTACATTGCCTTCCTCTTAGTCCCTGCTTTTAGGTAGTAATGGCCAGGATATTAGCAAGCCAGGAAGTGATTTTACACAATCTGCATAAGTTTTCAGAGCTCTCTTGGAACTGAACACCCGTTGAGTTCGAGCTTCAAAGATTAAAGTTCTGCTTTGTAGCAGCTCTGTAAAGGTCAGTATAAAATGCACTTGACTGGCGAGGTGTCCTGTCTGAAGGCATGGGGCGCAGCCACAGACACTGAGCGCTGGTGGATGGTGTAAGTAATGAGTTCCGGGCTAGCTCACCAGATTGAAAGGTAGTGTGGGATACTTTGGCAAGATGACCATGCGGTTGTGTAACATAAATTGAACATATGCTTTTAGATATTTGTTTTAGGTTTTTTTTTTTTAAAGATTTTATTTATTTATTTATTTATTTATGAGAGACAGAGAGGCAGAGACACAGGCTGAAAGAGAAGCAGGCTCCGTGCGGGGAGCCCAATGTGGTATTCGATCCTGGGACTCCGGGATTACGCCCTGGGCCGAAGGCAGATGCTCAGCTGCTGAGCCACCCAGGCGTCCCAGTTTTTACTGGTCTTTGTAATGGTAGAAGTTAATTATAGGGCATAGGATTGTATTTTCATAGCAAGTGTTGGTTTCAAAACTGGTAGGAGGAATTGAGATATAAGTCCCTGCCTGGCCATGCAGTGGAGTATCTTATCAGTAAATAGCATGTGCGATAGGTAGGTGGCTTTTTTGAATATGTGCTTAGAGCTTATCACAGTCAGCTCTGATGTGTTCTCCAGATTTTTAAAAACATGAAGTGTTAATTTGATGGTTTTATATTTATCAGAGTACATAAAGGTTATTGGCTCTAATGACCTTAGTATTGTTCCTTGCCACTTACATGTTCTGTTAGAATATTTTTATAACCTGTTTTTTCTCTCTGCATGAGCATTTTTGTTGTAGGAAGTTTGGAATATATCCCACAAATGGAAGAAAATAAAAGTCTTATCTCACCATTACTGTAACCACGATAATCACTTGGAATTTATTTTTGATCATTCTTGCATAAGAATGCATTTTATTTGATTCACAGTGAGCTGTTTCCTTTGCTTTAGACATTCCTTGTGTTTCTGTCTTTCATGTGTCTGATTAACTATGCATCTCAACTTTGTAAATTCAGAGGGTGAGGAGGGATAAACCAGTTAAAAACATTTGTGTACTCACAGTGAAATCTGTTCTCAGAGCAACATTTTTAAGCAGCAAGAAAGGAATGTTTTTTAGAAGACACCCAAACCATAATATATGGTCATGGTGTTTTGTTTTGTTTTGTTTTGTTTTTAAAGATTTTATTTATCTGAGAGAGGGAGAGGGAGAAGCAGACTCCCTGCTGAGCCGGGGGCCCCACTTGGGGCTTTATCCCAGGGTCCTGACGCTTAACCAGCTGAGCCGTCCGGGTGTCCTGTATTGAAGTCACTTACATGTTGTTGTGTATAATGTGATGAAATGACCGTTTAACAGTACATATATTTAATATCCTTAAACCCTTCTGGGATTTATCTTTTGCTTTTCGACTTCTGATACTCCCCATCTAAAGTGCCTGATCATAAGAAACAAAGTGTTGCATGGAAGACTTTTCCTGCCTTTTAATTTGAAGAGCCTTCCTTGGAACAGTCTGCAAGGCATTCAGTAGAAAATGTTTGGGACACACAGGATAGGTTTATGTATAAGATTATTTATACATTGAAAATACAGATAGACTAATACTGTCTTACTGTAATATTTACTTATTTTTTTAATAAGTAGTTGGTTCCTTTTTTTTTTTTTTTAAAGATTTTATGTATTTATTCATGAGAGACACAGAGAAAGAGAGAGAGGCAGAGACAAAGGCAGAGGGAGAAGCAGGCTCCATGCAGGGAGCCCGACATGGGACTCGATCCTGGGTCTCCAGGATCATACCCTGGGCTCTAGGCTGCGCTAAACTGCTGAGCCACCAGGGCTGCCCTGTAATATTTATTAATAGGGTCTTATTAAAATGTTTTTGTGGCACTTTTCCTTCAGGAATGCCTGAATTAGATGAATACACCATGGAAAGGGTCCTGGAGGAATTTGAGCAGCGGTGCTATGACAATATGAATCATGCTATAGAGACTGAGGAAGGCCTGGGGATCGAATATGATGAAGATGTTGTCTGTGATGTGTGCCAGTCACCTGACGGTGAGGACGGCAATGAGATGGTGTTCTGTGACAAATGCAACATCTGTGTGCACCAGGTATGTGGGCAGTAAGGCTCCAGGACGAAGCCACTTGGGGTGTAAGTGCACCTGCTGCCAGGTAGGCCAGAGGTCTTCCTACAGATGGGGTCTGTTTTCCTGCTGTCCTAAGTGAGTTAAGGAAGTGGGTCCTATGAACGAAATCTTTTTGTTCCTAATAGGTTCTTAGAGTATTTGAAGTATTTCCTACTACTTGTTACAACTGGAAGTATAGGCTGCTCTGTGGAAATCTTTTTAATTCTACCCATAGAAGTAAGGTTTACTTAAAAGGAATCTGTGAGCCGCCCTGCCCTGGCTTTCACACCTGAGTTTAGATGTTAACACTGTGGTGGGAGGGGTGAGGCGGGTGGAGGGCAGTTTCTACAAGGTGGTTAGTTTGCTGTATTAGTGTGTGCCATAACCCACAAACTGGGTGGACTAAAACAACAGGCGTTTATTATTTTGCAGTTCTGACGACTAGAAATCTGGAATCACGGGGTGTTGGCAGGGCCCGTCCCCTCAGAAACCTGTAGAGGAATCCTTCCTTGACTCTGTCTGGCTTCTGGTGATTTGCTCACAATTGTGCTCTTTGGTTTGCGGCTGCACAATTCTAGTCTCTGCCTTTGTTGTCACGTGTGTCCTACTGTGTCTGTGTCTTCACGCATGGCCATCTTACAAGGACACCCGACTCTAGTAGGACACCATCCTTAACTGATTCCATCTGCTTAGGACCCTGTTTCCAGATAAGGTCACATTCTGAGGGACTGTGGTTAGGGCTGCCTATCTCTAGGGGACATAGTTGAACCCAGAACATTTTTAACGTGTTCCTATATAAACCGTGATGTCAAAGAAGAGTGAGGAGGCTCCTTTTCTTAAATGTTATTTCATGTCCTGTCTGATGCCCACTGGCACTTGGTGGTTGCTTGCCAATCCACAGAAAGGTAAATCCTTCAGGTTCAGTAAGGATGGGCCCTGGGTGATTTTTAAAAGCTCGTGACAGTCTGTCTCTCTTCTCTGTTTATTCCTTAATGCAGTAATGAAGTAATTTGGATTTCTGTGGGGACACGTGTTCCTATATGCTTCTTAGGGTTTTATTATTTATTTATTATTCATTTTTTTAAAAAGACTTTATTTATTTATTCATGAGAGACACACACAGAGAGAGGCAGAGACACAGGCAGAGGGAGAAGCAGGCTCCATGCAGGGAGCCCGACGTGGGACTCAATCCGGGGTCTCCAGGATCACACCCTGGGCCGCAGGTGGCGCCAAACCGCTGACCCACCGGGGCTGCCCTATTTTTTATTTTTTTAAAGATTTTATCTATGCATGAGAGAGGCAGAGATGTAGGCAGAGAGCGAAGCAGGCTCCAGGTAGGGAGCCTGATGTGGGACTTGGTCCTGGGACCCCAGGATTATGCCCGAGCGGAAGGCAGGCGCCCAGTGCTGAGCCACCCAGGCATCCCACTGTTAGGGTTTTAAAAGGCTGTCATTCATCTTTTTTTTTTTTTTTTAAATTTTTATTTATTATTTATTTATGATAGTCACAGAGAGAGAGGCAGAGACACAGGCAGAGGGAGAAGCAGGCTCTGAGCACCGGGAGCCCGACGTGGGATTCGATGCCGGGTCTCCAGGATCGCGCCCTGGGCCAAAGGCAGGCCCCAAACCGCTGCGCCACCCAGGGATCCCTGTCATTCATCTGTTGATGTGGAGATTTAAAACAAACTTACAGACTTAATTTGTCTTCCTGCTGGGCTTCCCCTCTGCCTGAGGACATCAGGAAGAGCTGACACAAGGCTGCTGGTGACAAGACCCGAGGCTGCAGTCTCTTGCTGTAGTCGTGTTGAAGGCTACCTATATTGGCTCTAGATTTTCAGATTATCTGGGAAGTTTGCTTGGATAATGGAATTTCTGAAGTGATTGTGTGTCAAGATCACCGTGACCACCAGTGTCACCGGTTTGTTGCTAATAATTCCCTTCCTGGATGAAGCTTCAAGTCTTTTTTGTGCTATTTTCCTTATTTATTTTTCTCTCCCTGAGAATTTTGTTTGAAAACACCGGTTCTACTTGAAAACCAGTTGAACACCTGTCTTATAAATGGGCTCCCTGATGCGGAGGTGGGCTGGCTGTTCAGGGTCCCAGTGCGGTTTGGTCACAATAGTTGGAGCAGGGACTTGGGACCCTGGGCGCCCACCCCACACTGTGCCCAGTTTTCAGCCGTGCTGCGTTGTTCTCGTGCCTTCATGTTTATTACTTCATCTTCCTTTTGAGATGCTCTTGAGGCTTCCCTTGAATGCCTGCTGTATTCAATCTTTTCATTTAACGTAGACTTGATTGTCCAGTAAAAAAAGGTTTTCTTCAAAATGTGACTTTTTCTAGAATGCCTGCTACAGATGTTTTTAGAACTTGAAACCTTACTAGCGTTTCTTAGCTCTGTTAAAAGTTGTTTTTCCAGTAAGTCTGTGTTGAGAGTGGCTTCCTCGGGCCCTGACCCAGGGCTCCTCCGCTCCAGTCTTGGTGTTACTTGACTTCACCCCTCTCTCTCGCTGTGGTTTCCTTTCTGCGTCCTGGATATTCAGATTGCAGAGGGGCTGGGTTTTTCCTGTCTGGAGGATTGGAGCTATGTTACTGTGTCTCTAGACTTCCTGACTTCTGGGTCATTTAAGGATAAAGTTCTGAATGATTTGGTGTGTTTTTTTTTTTGAAAGGCTTCTGAATGTGCTCCTGGAACCATCCTGGTTTTGTGTCTTCACTATTTAACATTTGCCTTCTCTATTTTTGAGCCATCTTAATGACTTTAGCGGTGAGATCCTTGATTCCAGCCGTTGATGCTGTCTTGGGTAATTTTGCCATCTCCTGCAAAGCAGGCTTTGTTGTAAATATTGGCTGAAAAGCCCAGATTCTCTGTCCACAAGGTCTCCTCTTTCTGTACCTGTTGCACTCACTTGGGAGAGTGATGGGGTCTAGTGAGGGGATTTCGCATAGTTGGGGGTAACGTGGGGGCCCCTTCTTCCTTCTGAGCAAGGCCATCTCGTTGAACAGCTCTCAGAGACTCAGCTGCTCTGTGTGTTTTTCCCTCACATTGTATCCTATTCACATTGGTCAATCAGAGAAGGAATAGCTTCCCCCACTTAGCCTTCCTTGTGGAGTGTTTTGAGAATTTACTGCCCAATATTTAGGAACCTGGTGTAGATAGGGGTCTGTAGCAATACTGCACAGCAAATATTTTGTGAACCTATTTGTCCTCTAGGAGTGTTCAGGCCCACCCTCTGGTAAATGTGGTAAATAGGTATGTGTTTATCCTCGAAGATGCCACATGCCTTCCTGGCTGCTACTGTGAGGCTGCCTGGCATTTTTCCTGAAGGGAGAGGGTCTCCAGCTAGGTGGACATGGGGGTACCTCTATTCTATTTTGATAAAATCTTTCTAGGTATTTTTAAAGTTAATAGATATGTAGGGAAAGAAACGAATCTTTTCTTCTTTCTGTTTTCTTTGGGGGCTGTGCTGTGGCTTCACAGGCCTGTTACGGAATCCTCAAGGTCCCGGAGGGCAGTTGGCTGTGCCGGACATGTGCCCTGGGGGTTCAGCCAAAGTGTTTGCTGTGTCCCAAGAAAGGCGGAGCGATGAAGCCTACCCGCAGTGGCACCAAGTGGGTCCATGTCAGCTGTGCTCTGTGGATCCCTGAGGTAGGTGTGGTTTTTAATAGTAGCTTAGCTTAGGAGGTACTCCTGGCTTTGAGCTGGGGGTGAGGATGGGGAGCTGTTCGTAAATATGGGGTACTATAGCTGATGAATAAAAAGACACATTTTTAAAAAAAGATTTTTTATTTATTTATTTATTTATTTATTTATTTATTTATTTATTTATTTATTTATTTATTTATTTATTTATTTATTCATTCATTCATTCATTCATTCATTCATTCATTCATTCATGGAGAGACCTAGAGAGGCAGAGACACAGAGGGAGAAGCAGGTTCCCTGCAGGTAGTCTGATGTGGGACTTGATCCCGATCCCAGGACCCCGGATCATGATCTGAGCCAAAGGCAGACGCTCAACCACTGAGCCACCCAGGTGCCCCAAAAGACACCTTTTAATGGCGGTCTTTTTCTTTCCTTTCCGACCCCCTAAATTGAATACTGAGTGAACTATCATCTTGTCATGGTTTGTGGGAATGTTTCCTGGAAGCAGCGGTGAGCTGGACTCTCAGTTGTGTTCACTTGAGAAATGTGTCCCCGCTCACCCTCGCACCGAGACACGCTCCCAGGAGTGGGGCTGGGTGCTACTCTGGCTTCCCCAGGGATTGCCGCTAAATCCCGGGGCCTGTGAGCTGTCCAGGTAGCACGAGGATGGTTAAAGAATCACTGCTTTAGGTCACATTTTTGTGTGTGTGTGGTCTTTTTTTTTTTTTTTTTTTAATTAAAATTCTTACTTAGCCTCAACCTTTTTAATTTCAGGTCTGGTCTAATTTATTTCAAGTCCCAGACCTTGACTAATTTAATTTGCATGGCTCAGTATGAGAATATCACTTGTGATTGAAATTTCAGCATTTTTTGGTGTGTGATTTTGGTGCATTTTTCCTCTTGAAGAAAATTATCTGGAACTGATTTGGATTGGAGTTTCATGACTTGGGTTTTGGTAGCACCGGATCTTCTGGTTCAGGGATCCAGGCTGAATGCAGACAGGCTACCTTATTTATCTTGGTAGTTTTCCACTTTGAATGTATTAATCTTTTCTGACTGATGAGAATGGTTTTCTTCACTGAGGGTGATACTAAAATTAGCATATATTACTCCATTGTTCACAAACTATTTTAAATATATTTAAGAAGGGTTTTCAGTCTTGATCACCTCTTTGTGGGCAGGGGTGTATTAGATTGCATTGTCCTCATGCAGACCCATCTTGCTGTCAGACACTCGGGTGAGAAGTGACTGTTACTGGTTATCTGCATGTTTACAAACAGGATTGGTATGTCAGATGACCACCCCGGCCCGGTGCATGGAGGCCAGAGCCTGGGGACTGGGCTCTGGGTTCTCCGCGGTTGCTGGTCCAGAGCTGGCCCCTGCACTGTCCCGGTGCTTGGAAGTAGGGGTTTTGCTCTCCTAGGAGAGGCTACTGTCTGGTAGGAGGTCTGTAGGCGAATAGAAGATCTTTGGGTTTCTACTGCCCCTGCTCAGCTCTTGTTTGCCTGATGGCCTCTGCCACCTTGTCTTGCTATTCCTTGGGTCTCTAGGTGAGCATTGGCAGCCCTGAGAAGATGGAACCCATCACGAAGGTGTCTCACATCCCCAGCAGTCGGTGGGCGCTGGTGTGTAGCCTCTGCAACGAGAAGTTTGGGGCCTCCATACAGGTAATGCATTTAGTCATAATGGCATCATTTTCCTTCTTTGTGCTTGGGGCTGGACGAAGGAGGGCTCTGGGAACCGTCCATGCATTTGGGGATGGGTCTAGAAGCCAGAGAGCAGGACAGGGTTCTCACCACTCTTGTGAGGCTGCCGAGGAACGGCTCCAGCCTAGTGCAGACACCTTTCCCTGGCGGGTCGTGTCCACTGTAACCAGAACCCCGGCTGTAACAATCACAGAGCAACTCAGAAGTGCACCTGAGCTGTAAGGCAGTTCCGCTTTGTCTCTGGTTTCTCCCCTTCTGCCCTAAGCCCAGCGATGCAGCTCTTCACAGGCAGACGCCTTCAGGGAAGAACCAGTCTTGACCCTGGAGCGTTGGCCACCCTCCCACTGGTACTTGGAGGGGCGGTGGCGGGCCTCCTGACGCTGGTTAGGTGCGCTCACAGGGCGTGAGAGGCCTTCCCTGCTCTCTGTTCCAGATCAACTCGGTGTGCCTCTGTTTTTGTGGTTGGTAGAAGAGATTCCTTGGAGCCCCAGCTGGGTAAAGGGCCCCCTGCAAGGTGCTGCAGCGAGTGTCGTTTGCAGAAGCGGTTATCCGAACCCAGCTTGGATATCTGATTGGCCCTGGCATCCATCACTGTGGGGACCGGAGTGGGGTGGGGGAAACGGTTTTGTTAAAACGGCCTGCGTTTTCCGTGTCCACACACCGACAGGTGTCAAGAATCCTTAGGTAGACAATTATGGTGGGAATGTAAATGACATGCTGGTTTTTCAGGTTTTGTAAAAGGTTAATTTCCAGGCTTCCCGTTATCAGCATGTAGAGTCATGACTTAAGACACCGAGATGCTGTTTCCTTCTCCAGGGATTTCAGATGCTGTTTGTGGCGGACACTGGCCCTAGAGATGGAGTCCAGCTCTTTGTCTGGGTGGGGGGCGGGGCGCTCCCAGCTCAGGGCCACAGGCTGGTCCTCGGTCTCCATAACACATCCTAAGAGCAGAGGCACGGTTTGCCTCAGTCTCCGCTCTCGCAGAAAACACAACGGATCAGCACAGATACAAACTGCCAGGCTTAGGTTTTAAGGAAACGACCTCACTGGGCAAAGTCATTTTGTATTTTGGCTGATAAATTCTTCTTTCAGTAGAGTTAGCCCCTGGCTGGAGGTTTTAAAAAGTTTTCATTTTGTAAGCCTGGTATTTCTACTTTTCTTCATTATCACCTCCACTGGAGTTCTGGAATCCAAAATGTAACAGAGATGGAGAGGGTGAGGCATGAGATTGCTGGTGGGATTTGGCTGGGGACCTAAACAACAGTGCGGGGTTTTGCATGTGAATAGATTCTCGGTTTAAAACTAAAACTAAAACGTGGCAAAACCCTCCGGTCTTTATGGGAGAGAATGGAAGAGACATTGTTTAAAAACCTCAGAGTCAAAACCCAAGCGTTAGGGCCCTGCAAGCGCGTCTGTGTGCCGACCTACCCGGTGAGCACTTGCAGGACTGCAGCCGAGGGAAGTAGAAGGTCCTGCCTTCGCTGTTACCGGGTCCTCTGCGGATAGAATTTCTGCCCGTCCTGAGTACACCCGTCCTGCTCCGGCACCGACGGCGAGAGGTGGGCGCAGGAGATCTTGGTTTCTCCTTTGAAGAGAGGACGACAAAATGACTTTCTTGCTGCCGCTGAGCTCTTTTTTCCCAGAGCATTAATTTGAGGAAGAAAAGGCCAAGTTAGGTTGTGATGATTTTCCATATCTTCACAGAATAATAGAGTGATTTTTATTAAAGAATTCCTCTCTGAAATGCCTGCAGCTGTGAAGGCTCTGGTTTAGGTTTCTGTAACATCTGTTTGCTGAGTCAACCTGAAGAGGAAAACCCGGAGGAAGGCCGCTTGGCGCCTTTACAAAGCCCGTACAAGTGCAGCGCGTTCGCGTCCCAGCCCTCCGCTCCCCGCTCCCCGCTCCCCGCTCCCCGCTGGCTGGGCTCTGCGCTCCGCTCCCGGGGAGAGCGCTCCGGCCTTCAGGGGTCGCGGCCCGGCGGGCGGGCGTGCTCCGTCCCTGGAGCCTGTTTGATGCATTGCTTGTGGTGCAGGTTATTTATGGGTGAAATTAGAGATTTATGTTTGTTCACATGCTTTACGTTTTGTCATGGGGGAGTGGTGAGGGGGCCTGGGGTTGCTGTACTTCTGGGCAAAAGAGACTGGAGAAGCGGAAGGCGTGCGGGCTGGCGTGCGGGCTGGCGTGCGGGCTGGCGTGCGGGCTGGCGGGCGTCCGTCCGAGATGCTGACCTGACAGGGGCAGAAGCCCCGACTCCAGCCTGTTTGTGGGCCGTTTGTGGGCCCGGGGCCCGTTGAGGAAGGTTCGTTAGGCTTCTCGGCCGTCGCTGCGGTCCTGGCCGCCCGCGGCCTCCCGCAGGTGCACGGGGACGGGCTGCAGTCGCCGCAGGGGTCTCCTCCCGGAGCCCCCGCCAGGCGGAGGGGGCCGTTGTGAGCAGGAGGGCGCAGCCCGGAGGTGCCTGGCTCCGGGGGCCTCCGTGTGACCCACAGGAATTCAGCCCTTCAGGGTCCTGCGCCAGGGCCCCGAGGCCTTCCCTCCCGCCCCCGGCGGGGCTGCTTGGCCTTCTGACCCCGAGGAGGCCTTTCCATCCCCCCTCCTGGGCTGGCTTCCCTCCTTCTCCCCTTCTTTCCTCCTCTTCCAGGGGTTTCGTACCCACTCTCCTCAGACTTGAGCAGCCCTCGGCTGCTTGGAGGAAACGTGCCGTTTGTTTTCCCACTGGTGTTGGGCTCTTCCTGCCTGGAAGGAAGAGTGAAGACTCCTTGAAAAACTGACTAGTGGTTCTTCTTCTTTTTCTTCTTTCTTCTTCTTTCTTTTTCTTTCTTCTTCTTCTTCCTTCTTCCTTCTTCTTTTCTTCCTCCTTTCCTTTTCTTCTTCCTTCTTCTTTCTTCCCCTCCTCCTCCTCCTTCCTCCCCTCGTCGTCCTTCCTTCCCTCGTCCTCCTTCCTTCCCTCGTCCTCCTTCCTTCCCTCGTCCTCCTTCCTTCCCTCGTCCTCCTTCCTTCCCTCCTCCTCCTTCCTTCCCTCCTCCTCCTCCTCCTCCTCCTCCTCCTCCTTCTCCTCCTTCCTTCTTCTTTTCTTTTTGGAAGATCTTATGTATTTATTCATGAGAGACCTAGAGAGGCAGAGACAGGCTCGGGGAGCCTGACCCGGGACTCGATCCCAGACCCTGGGATCATGACATGAGCCAAAGGCAGATGCTCTTTGCCACTGAGCCACCCAGGCGCCCCTGAAGAGGTTCTTTTTCCAGCTTTTTAATATAAGCACTTTTAAAGGAGTTCAACTCTAGGAAAAGCCGTTAATTCTCAAAGTTTACTCTGTGTCATGAGCACATGTTCTTTTTAGTATAATCTGCATGCTAGACCACCTTTGGCTGCACATGCCATTTGTATAATTGCACTTGCTATATAAGAGGCGTTTTCTTTTATTTATTTTTTATTTTTTTAAGATTTTATTTATTTACTCATGAGAGACTCACAGAGAGAGGCAGAGACACAGGCAGAGGGAGAAGCAGGCTCCATGCAGGGAGCCCGAAGTGCCTGATGTGGGACTAGATCCGGTGTCTCCAGGATCACGCCCTGGGCCCAAGGCAGGCGCTAAACCGCTGAGCCACCCGTGCTGCCCGAGGCATTTTCTTTTAAAAAATGTGAGAGAGAGCATGCATACACCTGAGTGGGGGGAGAGGGAGGGGGGAGGAAGCAGGCTCTCCGCTGAGCAGGGCTCCTGTGGAACCCCATCCCAGGACCCCAAGGACCTTGGGATCATGACCGTAGCTGAGGGCAGCCACTTAACCCACTGAGCCACCCAGGCTGCCAGAAGAGAGTTATACATGGTTTGGTTTATGAAACTTTTCATCTAAAGAATGACTTTAAACCCAAGCTTTACCTTATTTAACATATGACCAGAGGTGCCAGGGTTAACGTCTCCTGGCACGTGCTGGAAGTTCCACTCTCCTGTGCATGTGTGTGGAGGGTGTGTAGCTCCAATGGGCTTCAGCCACTGTGGCTCCGTGACCGTCTTTTCTCTTGTTCTCTGTGTTCTTTGCAGTGCTCTGTGAAGAACTGCCGCACCGCCTTCCACGTGACCTGTGCTTTTGACCGGGGCCTGGAGATGAAGACCATCTTGGCGGAGAATGACGAAGTCAAGTTCAAGTCCTACTGCCCGAAGCATAGCTCACATAGAAAACCCGAGGAGAGCCTTGGGGAGGGGGCCGCTCAGGAGAACGGGGCTTCTGAGTGTTCCCCTCGGAATCCGCTGGAGCCTTTTGCCAGCCTGGAGCAGAATCAGGAGGAGGCCCACCGGGTTAGTGTCCGTAAGCAGAAGCTGCAACAGCTGGAAGATGAGTTCTACACCTTCGTCAACCTGCTGGATGTGGCCAGGGCCCTGCGGCTGCCCGAGGAAGTGGTGGATTTCCTGTACCAGTACTGGAAGTTGAAGAGGAAGGTCAACTTCAACAAGCCCTTGATCACTCCAAAGAAAGACGAAGAGGACAATCTAGCGAAGCGGGAGCAGGATGTCTTGTTTAGGAGGCTGCAGCTGTTCACTCATCTGCGGCAGGACCTGGAGAGGGTAATGATTGACACTGACACCTTGTAGTGACTTAGAAAAGAAGATTGCAAAGAGGCGGCTGCTTGCCCAGAGCAAGGAACGGTAGCCAGTTCATTTACTCTCAGACCCTGTACATACTGCAGCATGAGGTTGTGTTGGTTCAATATATTTATGGGCCGGTAAACTCCTGTACATACGTGTAAGACTGCCCCAGAGCGGGGGGCTCCTCTGTGATTTACTAAGACACTTTCCCACTAATCCACGCGGTTCTGTAAGATCAAATGGGGTGTGTCCCCTCCCCCCTTCATTCCAGTACTAGAGGGACCTGAGCCCCAGGAAGATGACCAGGGCGTTGGCTGAACCGTTTGTGCCACCTGAGTTAGAAAACCAGGTGGATCTGAACCCCTGGTAGGGGCGGGTGAAGTAGGAAGAGCTCTTGTTCAGCCCGGGGAGACCCGGGTGCTGGTGCCGCTCTGGCCCGCCTTCGTTTCTTGGCGAATTCCCAAGCAGGCAGTGGGTGCCGGCGTGTGGGCATGAACTTCCGTACAGCTGCGTATCTGTTCCAGAAGGTACTGCAGGCAGTGAGGTGCTAAGTGCTACCTGAGGCAGGGTAGCTCTGCTGTGCGTGTGTGCTCGCGTGGCCCGGGGCGGGGCGGGGTCCCTGGTGCCCGGGGCTGCCTGTCCCACCAACGAGCTTCTGGGAGCTCAGCCCACCACTAGGTCACGCTGCTGGATTGCTGAGCGTAGTGGCCCTGGGCTCCCGGAGCCGCGGCTGATGGCACTTCTCGACCGCCGACTCCGGGTCTGGGTCTCCCCTCCCTGCTGCGGGAGTAGTAGGAATGGGCTGTCTTCCCTCCTCCGGGGCCTCCTGTCCCCGTAGTTTCTGGCAGAGGCTTGCTAACTGGGGAGGCGCCTCGGAGCAGCCCACGTTCAGTTCATTAGTGCTCGGCAGCGGGGACCCAGGCCCTCTGGCCTGACGCATCCTGCACCGAAAGGCACCCGAGTGGCCTCAAACAGTTAATGCATCTTCCCCAAGCACCTGACTTCCTAGCAGGGAGTGATTCACCTGCCTGGGAGAGGAGCTGACCCCTGGATGTGAAGTGCGGGGGTGGGCAGAGCAGGGATGAAGCGGAGGAGTGTGTTAAGCCCAAAGTCCCAGATCTCCCAGAGACCCGCATGGCCCTGCTGAAGATGGCACGGGCGGAGGAGGACGTGTTCATGAGACTTCCCTTTAGTAGGAGACTGAGTGCCTGCGGGCCAGCTTGTTGTGACCCCCTTGGAGCAGGTTAGGAGTCCGGTCTAGGCGGAGGCCTCCGAGCAGGGAGACAGCGGGGAGACAGGCAGGCGGGGAGGCTTCCGCTGCCATGCCCCCCCTGGTGGTGAGTGTAAAGAAGACCTCGCCTCAACCACACGTATGTGGCATTTTTGTTAAGAGAGGAGAAGGGGATCAGGAGGATTAACTGAATCCTGGTGAGAAGCCATTATTCCCAGCCTGACGACCGCTGTACTTGGGGTGCATGAGCTGTGGAGTCAGCTGGTCCTCAGGAGGGAGGACGGGAAGTCTACATGTTTGGACTGTGTCTGTCTCATGATCACCACAGAATAAAAGTGTAGAAAATGCTTGTGGTGTACTAACTCTTTTCTGTACTTCAGTTACACAGATTAACACGCACTTATAATTAAATTCTAAACATTTTTTTTTGGAGTCATCGCTGTTGGTTTTGAAGTAGAATGATACCAATGATGTATGAGAAACAGGGAATAAATCAGGATTTTTGTGTGTGTGTGTGTGTGTGGCATTACTTACATTTACTTTCTTAAAAGCCTAAGAGATTTTAGGGAATTTAGTGTTAGTTTAAAATGGGCTCATTATAATGAAAGATAGGTTTTCCAGAATTTGCCACGAGGCCTGTGATGGTGGAGGCTTTAACAAAAAAACCTGGAAGTCTTTTCCCCCGAGCGCTGCACAGTGCTTTGTAATTACAGACAATAAGTATATCAAGCCAAAGGCTCATGAGGGCGGGGGTGACCAGAACAAATCCTAAATTACTTTTGTTTCTCAATGAAGTTAGGATTCTGCTGAGCCCCACAGTAGTGGTTCGTAGCCGGTACGCAGAGTCCGGGAATACACGGGGCTGGCGTAAAGGCTGCGGTCAGTCCTAAAGTGACCAACAGCCTTCATTAGGGAAGCAAACAAGTGCACGCTGATGGGAATGGCTCGCTCTTGCAGATACACACCTGGGGGCATTCCACACCCGGGAACCTTCTGGATCAGAAGGGAAAGTGAGGTGGCAGGAGCGGGTTTTAGAGGAGGGCTGGGGAGCCACAGCCTTAAGAAGACGCGGTTGCTGAGGTGTGGTCTGTGGCTGTGTCCAGGTCCCGAGCCGGCCGCCTGGCTCTGGTGGGGTTCCTGTCCCCTGGACCTGGTCTAAAAGATGCAGCAAACCTCCGTAAAGCAAGGGCGTGCCTTCTCAGATAAAGCCGTGCCCCGCGCTTGGGGCTGGCCAGCTCCTGGGCAACTGCCCTACTTGACACTCCGTGGGATGGATGGTCACCACCGAGAATCAGGCCACAGTTGTCCCCCGACAAATGACGTATCGCGCTCTAGTGTGCGAGCAGTGTTTGAGACCCTTCTTGGATTCCTGAGGGCGGTGGTGCTCAAGAGTGTGGGCCCCAAGCAGCCGCAACATTACCTGGAAACCTAGCGCGGCACAAGGTCTTGGAACCCCCACTATTGACTCCAGAACCGTGGGCAGGGCTGGGGGTAGTGGTCAGCATTCTGTCTTGGGTCCCCACGTGTTTCTGTTGGGGAATCCCTCCTTTTGGGGAAAGCTGGCTGTGCTTAGGGAGGTGTGCGTGCACCCACGGACTGGTCTTCCTGGGAACTCCTTGCTGGCAGCTGGGGGCAGATGAAGCCGGGGAGGGTTGAAGGTGAGGAAGGGCCAAACAGGGCATGTTGAAGGGCAGAGCCTCCGGTCCCAGCCGGGGCGCTGATGGAACTGTGCCCGAGGAGGGTTCTGTGCAGAAGGGAGGGAGGGCTTCGGGCGCTCCCTTCCTCCATGGGGTAAGCCAGGCCTGGTGGACTCGGGGCGCTTTGTCCCACTGAAAACCCACCGTGGCCTTGGCTTTTTGGCGTTCTGGGTAGAGGTTTCTCAGCAGAGACCAGGGGAATGGGGGGATTTGCCCGCTCAGCAGCCAGGGAGGCCTTTCCTGGAGCTGGTGCTTGAAGCTCGCGGAGCCCGGTACTAGGCCAAGTTCAGGGACTCGGCTTTCCCTTTACTCTGTTTTCGTGGGGAGTCTCCAGGGCCAGAGCTCTAAGTATCCTGGCTGTACATCGGACGTGAAGAGTGTGACTCCGTCTCCTAGGATGTCAGAATTTGCCCCCTATTTCCACAAGTCCGATTCCTTAGTGTAAAAGCTGTTGTCCAAGAGTTTTTATTTTTTTTTTATTTTTTTTTAAATTTTTTTTTAATTTTTTTTATTTTTACGATAGTCATACAGAGAGAGAGAGAGGCAGAGACACAGGCAGAGGGAGAAGCAGGCTCCATGCACAGGGAGCCTGACGTGGGATTCGATCCCGGGTCTCCAGGATCGCGCCCTGGGCCAAAGGCAGGCGCCAAACCGCTGCGCCACCCAGGGATCCCTGTCCAAGAGTTTTTAATCTGTGATACGGGTCTAGGTCTTGCCTCTGAGCCTCCATGCCTAATACCCACCGCCCCCCACCCCCCGGTGGAAACATACTTCTCAAAGACAGTAGTAGCCTGGTAGCCACTTCCATCCCCACATTGGCCAGGATTTTTATAAAGGACCCCTACTTCCTGGCCTGGGCCTGGAGGCTGTCAGGAGGGGCCTTAGCCGGGGTGAATTCCACCAAGATAGTATTTATATTTACTCCAAGACCGGGAGGGTGATTTTCTGTTCAATTCTTTAATTCTACCTACATGCACACGCACACACGCACGCGTCTCTACAGCAAGAGGAGGTGTTAGGCACATCCTGAGTAGTCCCTGAGTAGGTGCCTGTGTGTTAGGCCAGGAACCTCCACCGCGATGCAAATGTGAAAGCCGGTCAGCCTGTTGTCTCTGTGCCTCCTGTCCGGACGGCCTTGAACACCGCTCCAGGAAGAACAGCTGGAACCGCTAGGGTTCATGAAGGACTGGAAACCTCGGGAGGCGCCGGCTCAGAGCCAGAGCTCCGAGTTCTGTGTGTGCGGCTGTTGCCATCCCTCCTTACAGAGGATGTTGGTGACCTTGGTTGAAGAAAGGTGGCAGGGGAAGGGGCCCCTCCCCAAGCCCTGGGTCTCCAGGGACTGTAGTCTCTCCCCTGCCCCGGGAAATGGGACCTGAGAGGGCTCTTAGGGCCCCTGTGCTCCCACCGCTGAGCTACTGGGAGGTCTGGTCTCCTCTTCTGAGGAGGTTCGAGTACAGCCCGTCGTGTTGCGTTTGACTTTGGGGTTTTCAGGCGCATGCAACCTGGTCAGGTTTCCCAGTAGGTTCTAGGACTGAAGATGGCCTGGTTATTGACTATTTTGTTCCTGTTTAGGGAATACCTCTAGGTGTCGAGATAGTTTGGGTAGTGAGTGTATATGTGTGATCCCCATGTGATCCCCATGTGATCCCCGGTGGCTGCCAATCAGATACCAAGTGGAGCTCTCAGCACTTGAGTCTTTCTAGTTATTTACAAATGAACGTGGAAGAAGGCGGTGTCCTGCAGGGAGCTGGACTGGAGGTGCTGACAGCAGGGCAATGGCGGGGACGTTCCCTAGCTTTATGTTCTATAGGAACACGTTAGCTGCCTGTGAGCTTCAGATACCGTCTAGTTGACAGAAAAGTTTCCTTGGCTTCTTGGTGACCATTTGGTCTTCTACTAGTGAGCTCTGTGCAGGGATAATTTTTGGCGGGAGGTTGGGGGAGGTGCTCTTCAGATGGCCCTTTTGACCCTGTGTTTCCCCAATTCTATCTTCAGGAGATAGATGCTGGATAGAGTGGCTTCCGAGCTGCTCTGAAGCCTTAGGTCATAGAATTCATAGGAAGAGGATATTGAGGGGGTGATAAGCCTGGACCTGGAGCCCAGCGGTCTTCTGCTGGGGTGGGCGCCAGGCTGGGTGTGGTGCAGGCCGCAGGGCTTGTTTGGAGCTCCTCCTACAATCTCTTCTGCGTTGCTCTGCCTACTTGGAGGGGTGTGTGTGGAATCCTAGTTAGCAGCCCGAAAGTAGATTAGAGCTTGGATAAAATGTATAAGTACATCTTGATTTCAGATGCCCCTCATGGCCCTAGTAGGACAAATTTCTCAGGTAAAGGAAAAACACCAAAGTACCGTTATAATGTATTGCTTACTTAGAATCTTTATTCTCTACGTTCTAGGTTCGGAACCTCACTTACATGGTGACCCGCAGGGAAAAGATTAAGCGATCTGTGTGCAAAGTCCAGGAACAGATATTCAATCTTTACACTAAGCTCTTGGAGCAAGAAAGAGTTTCAGGTATGCATTAAGCTCTTGTAGGTCAAACAATAGTGCAGGGGTTTGTAAGCCTTAACGTTCTGTTAAGGGAAAAAAAAAAAAAAAGGCGAATTTTCTTTTATTTATGCTATACGAGAATCCGAGCAGCACAGACTTTCATATTCAAGGAAAATCTTTTGGCATTTGAAGCATCACACCGTAGGGAAAAGGGCTATGAATCTGACCTCAAATAGGGGTCGAATCCCATATCCTCTACCTACAGGCCAAACAAGCAAGCCTGTTTTCTGAGGCTCCCTGACTTCTTCCTGTGTAATGTGGGGTTGAGCTCCCAAGCTTCCTACTGGGAGCTCTTCTGAGACTCCAATGTTAAGGGCAACTTCTCTATTGTGTTGCAAAGCACTCGATAAACTTAAAGTTTCATGGGGACACTTGGGAAGATTTACAGATTCTCTAGCCTTTGGATCCACCTGTAACAGACGGTAAATAAGCAGCGTTAAGACTGTGTACTCCAGGCACACGTCCATGTTCGGAGCACATTCCCAGTGGACGTTTTGGAATAGGTGGAATTTTGAGTATTTTTGAGATTCAGCACCAAGTATTTATTCGGTGTGTTTTACCTCGCTCTGAGCGAGGTAAAGTGGAAAAGGGAACTAAGATTCCCGCTTCGTGCGCTGCGGAGAGCACACCGTTCCTTGGAGGTGGAGCGCACCCAGGGCAGGTCTCTGGGACTCTCCATCTGTAAGACGCCAGGTTCAGGACCCCGACCCCTCGCGGGTCTCTGAGCACGGAGGTGCTGCGAGCAGGACCCCTGCCGAGCGGGCATCTGGAAGGATTTCGGAGGAGGAGGGCCGCCGAGGGCTCGGCCAGGCCTCGGGTCCTCGGGGAGCTGGTCTCTGTGGCCCGGCCCTGCCCGAGGGCCGGAGCAGTGGCATTGGCCGCACTGCGCTGTGCGGCCACAGGAGGCTGACTGGCCTGCTTCTGTGGCTTCTTGTCTCTGTAGGTGACGGACGCAGAAACAACAAAGAAGCGGTTACCTCCTGTTATGTTGAAATCCAGATTCTGGTTTACCTGAAACCCTCCGGATACACGGAGCTAGATGTAAATTGGTCAGCTGAACAAAGACAGCTTAGGGGGCCTTAATGCTAGTCTCGAGTCGTTACCTCGTTAATACTAATGGCATTAACGTACTAATGTTCTCCTAGATATTTTCTTCCGGAGAGTAAATATTTTCCAGATGCATCATTAGTTAGAGTTTATTAGTTGTAAAACTTTTAAAATAGGTTTTTATAAGTAGGGCTCATAAGCGAAAGCAGTTTGATCGGGATTGTTTCAGGTGGACTTGTTTCGCTCACTGTTCCTACTTGAGTGCACAGGAGCGGGACCTAGTTTATCCCCTGCCTTCGTGGCCTACTGCAAACAGCCTGCGCGGAAGGCTGCGGGGTGCGGGTCACCGGCCTCCAGAGCTGCCGCCGTGCAGGCTGGGCCCGTGGAGTTTTGCCCGTGGAGGGGCGTCCCGTGGCTCTTGTTCAGTAGTTCTGTAATGAGTGATTACCTATAAAAATAAGCTGCAAGGAGCATTTTCATCTGATTTCACTTAGGAGTCCTTTTTCAGGGATATTGCAAGCTGCTTTTTGCATTTCATGGCTCAGGTTTTTACGCGGGTAAGAGATTGAGATTCCTAACCAGGTTAGGAAGTGTTTTGTGTGACACAGCTGTAATGAAATCCTACTGCTGTTCCAGAGAAGGTAAACAAACCCTCCCTCCCCTCTGAGATACGAGCCATACTAAGTATGTTGGGTTGAAAGCAACGTTAAGCTTTCTGCAGGATGCCCCAGGGAATGAAGTGGAAACCCTTTAGGATGCTCCCCCCCTCTTCTTTTTCCTTTTATCCCAGTTTTAAACTTTCAGTTGTGTTCTTATTCATGTCCCAGGTGGATCTCCTGTCTTATAAGGTAGATGGTTCCAGGTGAAGTGGAGGAGATGGCCGTGATTCACACGTGTCAGTCAGGGTCTGGGGTTTAGGCTCGCGTGCGAAGCTGAGAACGGTCAGGGCCATTCTGCTGGCTGAGTGTGTCCTCAGTGGGGACAGCACTTATGTGACGTCAGAAGTCTGAGGCTTTTCAGAGACGTGGATCCCAGGTAGATGGAAATCAGTTTAGAAAATGACAATCCCTCTTACCTTTGTTTTCCCACAGTACGTGACTGAGGAGGAGACACAGAAGTGTGGCTTCGTGAAGGTTGACTCTAAGGTTTGCTTCTTGAAAAGCAAGCGTGTTCAGCTCAGCAGTGGGAGCTGCTAGCCCCGCTCTGTTGACACGCCGTGTTCGTGTCTGCAGAGCAGGGAGGCTTCGGACGGGCTCCTGCCCGGCTGAACCTGGTTTTTCCGGCGGTTTATACCTTACGGGACACAGAACAGGAGAACAACTCTTTACAGATGTCCTCGAGGCTCTTGCAGAAACACGGTCCTTGTGATAAACTCCAGTGTGTTAAAAATTCACCCCGGGTTTTTCACACGGAGGGTTATGAGTCATTATTAGTTGGTTGTGAGAGGAGTTTAGTGGGTCACCAGCATCAAAAGCAAGTGACATAGAATAGAAAATGTAAGAGTGCCACATCAGATGGAGGAGGCTAATATTTCATGAAGTGTGAGCTTTTAGTGGGTTACGTTCTGAAATTTAGTTACTGGGATTGTAGGAAAAATGTTTGCAAAACACCATTTTAAGTTACCCACGTGTTGGATGCCAGTTCAGTTTAATTCCGCAAATAGGCTTTGCATATAATAGGAAAGATTTTGTTTTTTGTTTTTGTTTTTGTTTTTTTAATAGGAAAGATTTTGAAAGACCTTTGCTGTGTGTCAAGAATGAGTTTAAGCACCTTCCTTTCTTGTTTCATGTACTTACTTACATTTGTCCTCCTCGTAGCTCGTATTTACTTGGAGAAGGAAACTCTAAAGATGTATCTATTCATTTGCTTATTTCAGAGTGCGTGGGTGCAGGAGAGCACACGCAGGGTGGAGGGGCAGAGGCGGAGGCAGGAGGAGAGAATCTCAAGCCGACTCCACGCTACCCAAATGTGGAGTCACACGCGTGGGGCTCGATCCCAAGACCCTGACATCACAACCTGAGCAGGAAATCAAGAGTCAGATCTTTAACTGACTGAGCCAGTCAGGCGCCCCCCAGATAGGGCAACTTGAAAGCCCCTGGCCCCGCACTGCTGGGTGGGCTCTGGGTCGCGTCGGGGAGCAGGTGCCTAACCATGTGCAGGGGTAGGGGCGCTGACTGACTGGATGGATTCTGCGTGGATTCCTCTTTGAAAGATTGCTTACATGGTTCGAAGGGAAAGGTTTTTCTGGGGAGGTCGCTTCATGGAAACCTTTGTGAGCTTCGGCTATTTAAGAAAACGCAGCATATTCAGTCTGCAGATTGAACGCAGATTCTTAGGGCAGGTGATATTTTCGTGTGTGAATTCTTATAAGCTGGGTGGTTGTACACTGTGCGGTTGGGTGGGAAGTTCGTGTTAATCGGGCCATGCTGGGGACCTAGAGTGGTGTTTTGGGTCTGCTTCTGTAATTTTTCTTTCTTTGTGGTTGTATATTTGTAGGTGTGCCTTCTTCTTCCTGGTCCTCCTCCTCCTTGGAAAACATGCTTTTGTTTAACAGTCCTTCTGTGGGCCCTGACGCCCCCAAGATCGAGGACTTGAAGTGGCATTCCGCGTTCTTCAGGAAGCAGATGGGCACTTCCTTGGTCCATTCGCTGAAAAAGCCCCATAAGCGAGATCCATTGCAGCACAGCACTGGGAGCGGAGGCAAAGCCCTGCCGAAGCAGCCAGACCTGTGTGGTAGAAGGGAGGGGACGGTGGTCCCAGAGGGCTTCTTGAGTTTTGAAAAGACCTTTGCGGAGGCCCGTCTCGTGTCAGCACAACAGAAGAATGGCGTGGTGATGCCAGATTCCGGGGACAGAAGAGACCATCGTCTTCATTGTGATCTCAGCAGGGGAGACTTCAAGGACAGACCTTGTAAACAGAGTCACAAGCCTCTGAGGCCCACGGACCCGTCCCAGCGGCACCTGGACAGCCCGAGAGCCGCCGCCGCCTCCCCTGGCATGGGGCAGTCGGCGCCCGGCTCCAGGAAGGAGATCGTGCCCAAGTGCAACGGCTCCCTCATCCGAGTGAACTATAACCAGACTGCAGTCAAAGTGCCTACGACACCTGCCAGCCCAGTGAAGAACTGGGGAGGGTTCCGGATTCCAAAGAAGGGGGAACGGCAGCAGCAGGGAGAGGCCCACGACGGGGCCTGCCACCAGCACTCAGACTACCCCTATTTGGGCTTAGGCCGAGTTCCAGCCAAGGAAAGGGCAAAAAACAAGTTGAAATCTGACCATGAGAATGACGGGTACGTCCCCGATGTCGAGATGAGTGACTCAGAGAGCGAGGCATCGGAAAAGAAGTGTATACACGCCAGCAGCACTATCAGCAGGAGGACAGACATCATCAGGAGAAGCATTTTGGCCTCTTGATGAAACTGAGGCGGTGTGGGAGCGCTGCGGGCGCGCTGCGGGCTTGCCGTGGAGTTGCTAGACGAGAGCTCTGACGTGGGGGACGAGCGGAGACCCATCCATCACTCCTGAGCTACACACACACATTTACTTGCAAGTCAGATTGAATTTTTTTTCCAGAGTCATTTATAATTCATTGTTGTGAGAAGTGTGTTATCTGCAACTTGTTGAGGAAACACAAGAGTAGATTGTAACCGTCAGACACTAAGACTAGAGGCTGAATTAAACACTAAAATAAGAATGAATGAAATAAGTCTTTGCAGAGGGCAAGGCTTGCGGAAGCCTCACGAGTTTGCATTGCCCTCTGTATTCTTCCCAAAGCACAAACTCTTGGTTACCTGAATACGCGGAATCAGATGCAGTTCTTGAGAAACCCTCACGTACCATTTAACAGCCCATAAAACTTACTTTGTAGGACTGGTAGATGTTGAAGTCATATTTATACTTTGGCCCCCGAGGCTGTTTTTGTTGCATTGTAGTTACAGGCAGCAGCTCCGAAGCTTCAGTAACTCTAGGGAATTCATGTATGAATGAGATCAGCAGATGGGGAAGAGAGAATTTTCAAAAAGGTCAGTACTGGAAGATCTGAAGGGCCAGGGCAGAGCTGCTGCAGCTTGCAGATGTAGGGTACGTGGAGCAGGTCCTGCTGCCTGAAGCACCCGAGTGTGTTGTGGGTATGGGACTGGTGGAGGAGAGTGAAGCCATTAGAAAGTTCTGTCTGTGAGAAAGGGCAGTTGGTCCCATTCTTACCAGTCCTCTTGACCTTCCTCTTCCCTAACCACTGCCTTTTGGGCCAGCTTGGGAGTTCCCTGGCCTTGGGCAATACCTGGCCATCTGGCTTCCAACGATACTAATGGCTAGTCAAGTTCAAGTGATGAACTTCCAGACTCTGGTGACCTATGTCCCAGAGCCAACCACTAGTGCGTATGTTGGGGAATCTGGGCTTCCAACATGAACGGATTCCTTAAGAAAAAGGAAAAAAAAATGAAAAAGAAAAAAAGAAAAAAAGAAAAAAAAAAAGCAAAATAGGTTATATTTTAAAAACAGTAGAAAGGCAATAAGTTGCGATAACCTCTTACCATTGACCAAGGTGATACGGGAAAGAGACTGAAGTGTAACAGGTTTCCTGGAGTCAGAGTTCTAAGCTCCAATTCGTAACTTGGACTTTCTAATTGCAAATGGCAATAACTAGTAAGTTATCAGCAATAATGAATTTAGCATTAAATTTGAGTACAATGTTCTGTTTTTGCACTCACTGCAGTGCTTATGTATTAAGACAGTGGATAGTGTTAAGGTCCTGTTAATTTTCTTTGGAATTCAATGTAGTTGTGAATCAAACTTAAGAGAAGGAAAGTTTAAATAGCAACGAGATTTAGAATTATGGGCACTTGGAACAAGCCCAATTTCCCCTAAATTATCCTTAGTTTGTTATTATCAGTATTCAGATTTCCCGATTCATTTATACATCTGTTTCCATGTGGCAGGGACATTCTGATACTTAACGAGTGATGATTTGAGTTCTGTAGTTCCCTTTCAAGTCTTCCAGGTGATTGTCAACAGCAAAAAAGGCTTATTGAATTCCATCTTGCTATGCAAGTTTTATCGGATGATCAAATAGTAGATCTGATGCATCCCCATTGTATGTATGACATTTTCAGACCAAGTCTTAACTTTTCGAATACATTTTAGTAGCTAATTCAGGGGAGGGGAAAGAATGACCCAGGTTTTTAGATTGACTATTTTTGAGCTATGGGGCTCATCTTGAGAGACTGCTGTCCAGATAAGCTGTTGCTACAGATCTTAGGAGCTTCTTAAAGAATCCAAGTTGTACATTGACTCATAGCATAGTTTAAAAACCAGAGTTTTTGCCTATGAGCGAAAACATTTTTGCTGGATACAGAAGAAAGGTGGACACTTTTTACAGTTCCCTTTTGACCATAGCAACAGCTCTGGGTGAGAGTAGAATATATAGAGGGGTAATCTGTCAAGCCATAGAAAGAAAATCTAAATTTTAGTAAGTATATGACCTCTCACCATTTTAAGAGGTAACAGATTCATTTGCACTATTTAGGAATGCTAGTTTTGTGCAAAAATAATGCCTTACCTGTTTTTTCCCCACATTTAGGTTGAAAAGCTTTCAAACGTTCCAAGTTATGCTGAACCAAAAAAACTAAACAAAAAACAAAACAAAAAAAATAAAGAAAAACCCACACAAAAATAAAAAGCCCACACTTTTTATTCCTGCTTTGAAATGCAAATGGTATAGAGCACGGTTTCTCTGACAGTGTAATGATAGCTTTGTAAGTTAGTTCACGTCCTGCTGGGAACTCTGTATGAGGCGGCCATACGCAGCACCCACCCACCCCACCCACTTGCACTCTCTTAGTACGAGCCATTCGCTCTGCTTTTCTTTTCTTTTCTTTGAAGCTTTATCTTTCCTTGTGCATCCTGACCAAGAAATATCTTTGATTATGATCAATGTATTATGTCAAAATGTAGGCTAGTTAAACTTTTGTAAAGTTGCCTGGAATGTCATTTGTTAGGTTATAAACAAAATCGAAATGAAGGGTTCTATGTGTTGTGTACAAATCTTAATTATTTTGAAATGGACAAACTTGTCATTACATTTGTAACCTTGTACAGAGGATTTTTCACTATGTGCCTAGCTTGGTGTCCATTCAGCTAAAATTGGAAAAAAAAGGTGCATGAAGAGTTAAAAATCAGAAATTAAACAAAGTATATGTAGAGATGACTATTTTATATTACATGGCCCAATCCTGTATTTATTTCTACCCTCTTTTTGAAAGTATTTATAAAACTAGTTGAGGACAGCTGTATTTTTTTGTTGAACTATTTAGTAGAATTTGTGCCTTTTTGTCTGTATGTGAATAAATGCTGTACATTTTGCAATACATTTTTAAGTGTCTTTTGAATGTTTTTTTTTTTAATTTTTATGTATTTATGATAGAGAGAGAGAGAGAGAGAGAGAGAGAGAGGCAGAGGGAGAAGCAGGCTCCATGCACTGGAAGCCCGATGTGGGATTCGATCCCGGGTCTCCAGGATCGCGCCCTGGGCCAAAGGCAGGCGCCAAACCGCTGTGCCACCCAGGGATCCCTTTAAGTGTCTTTTGAAATCTGATTTTGCTAAGTATTTAAAGATGTATGTGCCATAGTGGTCCTGAATTGGTGTATGTCGGCCGCCTCAGGGCTGCAGGGGACAGAACAAGATTGTGACTGTGGGAGAAGAGCACAGATTGGGGCTGGGCTGCTGTCGGCTCAACTCTGAACTCTGAGGGTGAGACGCTGAAAAGTGGTAATGGTTTGATTTGTAGTCTTCCCCACCTGCAGTTTTTTCCCCAAAGAGTTTTTGTTCGGAGAGTAACCTGTGGCTGAAGCAACTTAGACTGCGGGTTAGAGAGCCCTGGGTTTACGGGCTGAACGGGGTAGCTTATCGGCCTTGTGACCTTTGCCAAGTCACCTACCCTGCACAAACCTCCATTAAAGCAAGTTCATAAACTTCTCCTGAGGCCTGCACGAGGAATTTAGTAAATGGTAGCCTGTGATTAGGAACAAGGCCTTGATTTCTCCAACATGTTGACAGGTGAGCCTTCTGCAGCAAAAAATGTTGTTTGTTCCTGAATGACAGGAAGACGGTGAGGTCCTTCAAAAATAATTTTTCAGAGGGTAGTTTTATTAAATGTTTTCTTTTGATCACAGAATTCTGAACCACTAGGACAAGGGCAGTCTCCGCATTCCACAAAGGACGTAGGTCCAAGATGGCAACATTAAGCATTGGCAGGACTGGGCCTAGACCCTAGTTCTAATTTCTGGTTCTGTTTTCCCCAGCCTGAAGCCGTCTGTATTTAACCACTACACGCAGAAATCAGAGAATGAAATGCATCTTCCTTTATATTGGGACCAGCAGAGCTGCTGTGGGTTTACGGCTTGCGTGCTCCTATAGATTCTGAACCGCGGCAGGGTGGCATCACTGTCCCTAGTTTATAATTCTTGTAAAATCTTGGCCGTTTTTTTTTTTTTTCCCAACGTGGATTGTTCATACATTTGGCTAAAAGCTTGTTTATTTCTCCTTGTTCCTTCTTAGTGACTGTTTACTTCCATGTTGCCTGCTCTAAGACCCCAGGGAGAAATAACTGTGGTTCTTCCTGCAAGGTCTTCAAGTTGAATAACCACAAGCGTTCCCTGGGGAAATTAAGTCCCCAGGAGCCAAAGGAAGGGCCTGTCATTGGCAGTTCTGCAGCGTGTGGTGGGAAGTGTGGCACCGGGGACTCGTGTTCGTGTTTTTACCCAGATGACTTAGAAAACCGAGTCTACCTTTGAAACATTAGGCATCTGCAGCAAACTTTGCAATTAACTTCAAGGTTGAAATCTTCAGTATGAGTTCCCTTTAATGCTCAGAACTGCATTAGATGAGGTGTTCTAGTCTGGGGTAGGAGAGAAGAGCTTTGACTGCCCCGGTCATTGAAGAGGCGCTTTAAAGCAAGTGTCCTCTGCTTGCTTGACTCCAGCTGCTCCCTGCTGTGGAGCGGAGGCCTGTGCAGCGCAGCTCGCCGGCCTTCCTGGTGTGCCAGTGCCAGGCACTGCGGGCGGTGCCCGGCCTTCTTCCCGTCCCGCCTTGGAGAATGGCATTCAAGCCTGGAGCCCGGGGGTCCTTAGATCGCTACCACCTACTGTGAGGTTCAAGCCTCCTCATTTCTTGCCTGGATTATTGCAGCAGCCTTCTACCTGTGTACTTGACTCCAGTCGTGCTGCCGAAATCCCCCCGCCCCCACCCAGTGGTTTATGACCTTCACACTGGGATCGCCATAGTGAAAACCTCCGGGAAAAACAGAATCTGTCCTTCTGCTTGCCTTCGGGGGCTCCTTCAGACCTCTGGAGAGCATTACAAGGGCTTATCAAATGGCAGACACTGGTCTGTGCTTTTTACATACTAATTCGTGTACCCCTCACAATGTGAGGTAGGCACCACTAATTTAGAGACGGGGAAACGGAGGCACAGAAATCAAGTCGCTCCAAGTCCGTTGGTGGTAGAGCTGGGCGGGCGTTCACCCCAGCCAGGCTGCGACTGAGCTCCCTGGGCTTTACTGCCTCCGAATGGAAAGTTCACATCAAGCAGTCCGTGGGTTCTCAAGTACACGGAGGATTATACATGTGAACTTTAGTTCAATGAATTTCTATAGAATAAAGCTAATAATCTTGGCTTAAAACCTGATGTTCATGCACCGGTTGAATGACTGGACATAACCTAATGGATAATGAGCAACACTCTCAGCTGTGGTCAGTCCCTGCCTTCTAGGGAGAATGGAATTAGTTTCATTTCATATATATTTATGTAACACGTTTACAGATAAAATATGTGCATACAGGATCAAAGAAAATAACACTGCCATCAAAAACGTAATTCTCCCTATGTCCTGACACACCGTTTGGAAGGTTAAAGAGAATTAGGTAAAATTACAGTTTCTTGATAAGTCTGGAATTAAGACTACTGTCTTTAGACTTTGATGCCATACAAAACCTTCAATCTGTTTTTTTTTTGTGATATAAAGTACAAGAAGTCTGGTCAGTTTTTAGAAATAAGTTGTCTCTTCTCGGTCTTTTGGTTAAGATCAAGTGTAGAATAAGTAATGCCAAATTAAAGAGCAAAGATAAAATAAAAAACGTGTCATTCCTAATGTATGCCTAGTGTATCCTGATAGTCTCACTACTAAGGCTTACATATGACTGTTTGAAATAGTGCATTTATAATTATGGGTTAATTATGGTTATTTTACCCACTAATCTGGCTGATGAAATTCTAATTTCAGGATTATTACCGGTGTGATACAATTTTTTTATGAAGCAAATCGTTTTCTGTGGTGTTTTCCTCCCTTATGTAGTGGCCTCAAAGGGCGCGTTCCCTCTTTCTTGCTAATTATGGCTCTGCTCCAGCTTTACTGTTTGAATTGTTTGAGTTTCTCTTTTTCATAGTAAATCCCTGTGATCTTTGCCTCAACTAGTCCCAAGTACTTAAAGTGAGTAAATATACTTTTCAAACATCATGCTCTAAAATCCCATGCTTGTTTTGACATAAAAAGTCATACAATATTTTATCAACCACTTTATTATAATGCTAAGCGATTTAACATGTTTATGACTTTTTGGTAGGACACTTTTTTTTAGGTGAAATTGTTATCACTCAATCAAGAACTCTGGAAACCTTCAAATTTCTTAGGAAAAGCATCTTCCTATCTAGGGGGATTTGGTAATTTTTTCAAACCTTGAAAAGAAATGTGCTATAACGTAAAAGGTAACTTTAGTGGAAAATTGAGATCTAAGCAAAGGAAGTCAGAATACCCTCTTTTAAAGGTTTTCAGATTTCTTTAGTGGGTGGTAACAATTTCACCAAAAAAAGGATATTTACCAGAAAATCATAAATATGTTAGATTGTTTTTAATAAGTATAAAGTGGCTGATAGCCTAACTGATTTCCTGTGTCAAAACAAGCATGGTATTTGAAACCTGGTGTTTCAAAGGCATTTTCTCACTTGGAGTACTTAGGAGTAGTTGAAGCAGGTTGCTTAACTTTTATAATCCCTTCTATCTCTGGAAAGGCGAGGGTAATACTGAACCAGTGGGTTTGTTGCATTATGAGAGGTAATAAATGCAAAATGCCAAGCATGTATCTTACATGTGATAGGTGCTCAATAAATAGATATTAGTCCCACAGAGCGGCATGATTACTGTAGATCCGGGGAAAGATTCCCCAATGCATTCTTTTGGTTATTTGTAGAAATGTGCACTTTTCTCATGCTCTTTTATCCCCTATAGTTTATATGAAAAGGAGATGCTAGTCTCATATTTTTAATCTTCAAAATCTTAGTGCTAACAGATTTTCTATGCATATTTTGCTGATTTTATTCTTTGAAAATACAATGAAAACAATGAATTTCCATGCCATATTAAAAGCTTCAAGGCTTTTATTTTATTTTTTTTTTAATTTTTTTTTGTTTTTATTTATTTATGATAGTCACAGAGAGAGAGAGAGAGGCAGAGACACAGGCAGAGGGAGAAGCAGGCTCCATGCACCGGGAGACCGATGTGGGATTCGATCCCGGGTCTCCAGGATCACGCCCTGGGCCAAAGGCAGGCGCCAAACCGCTGCGCCACCCAGGGATCCCAAGCTTCAAGGCTTTTAAATATTTATTTTTATTTTTTAAAGATTTATGAGAGAGAGAGAGAGAGAATGAATCAGGCTCTATGCAGGGAGCCTGATGTGGGACTCTGTCCTGGGACCCCAGGATCACATCCCGGGCTGAAGGCTGGCACTAAACCACTGAGCCACCTGGGGATCCCTAAGTCTTTTAAATAAAATTTTTAAAAAAGTGATTACTAGGCTACTACATGGATTTACTGAAAAGAAATATATCTTGGGACACCCAGATGGCTTAGTCGGTTGAGTGGCCAACTCATGATTTCAGCTCAGGTCATGATCTGAGGGTCCTGGGATCAAGGCTCAAGTGGGGCTCTGGGCTCAGCAGGGAATCTCCTTCTTTCCCTTCCCTTCTCAATCAATCAATCCTTAAAAAAAAAAAAATCTGACTACATTTTCTTCTTGGGCAGGATTACTAGATTAGGTCTGGGAAGTATGCCAGTTGTGACATAAAGGAACTTTCTCTGGGCAGAAAGTGTGATGGTGAAGCAGCAGCAAATGGGCTAGATTAGAAACAGGCCGAAGACCAGGCCCCATGGATCCTGATTAATTATCCATTAGGGGAGCTGGTGGTTGGTGTGATCTAAGAGATCAACTGCATTCACATCTGTCTAGTTCTCATCTTTTTCATGATTATCATGAAAATATGGGTGGTACGTTTACCAAATCTGTAGATGGCATTGCTATAAATAAGAAGTTGTCAATC